AACATAGTCTAAACAAGTGCATCTGTAAATGCATCTACTCGTGTAAAATTTCAGATTGCCCTGCTGACCAAGTGATGCAGCTTTAGTTGAACCTTTTTTGAGGGGCTCCTTTGTTTTTGGTTTCACTACACTGTCCGGAGTCAGGGTGAGTGGTATAAATTGCCTTTTCCTGCTATGTTTGTTGCTTACCTGTCCTTGAGATGAAGTGGAAGGAAACCGTTAACAGATCTCTGCACTGATAATCACAAAGGCCTCAGCAGGGATGCAGCTGGGGGACCAATTCTGGTAAATCAGAGGCACTACCGTCACAGCACTAGACAGTTCTGTCTATTAGGATGGAAATCAGGAAATCACAGTCTAATTCTTCTGCTTATGGAAGTGGCACGAGAACATTTCATCTTCCTTAAAACTGATGAAAATCATGCTGCCTCTTTTCAGTGCTACAGTACCCAGGGCTGCTTTTAAAATCTCTCTCAGCTGTTTTACGGGAGTTAGACTTGATACAAATATATGGGTTTTGTGGCACAGCAGTGCTGAAAATTGAGTTCCCAGGCCACCCAGAGCTGAACAGACTTTTACTGAATCTAGCTCTCAAGTGTCAAAAATATATTTCTGACCTTATTCATAATATTACTTCTCATGGATATAACCCTTTATATGCTCAAAGGGCTGTATAACAATACAGCACCTGTATTATTATCCCCATGTAATAAGGAAAAACCAGGTAATTCACAGGTATCACTGAAATCCTTTGAACTGAATGCCATGCTAGTCTTCACACACTTCATTGTGAGGGGACTGAAGTGGTCTGAGATAAAAAAGATATAGTGACTGATTCTCCTCTCACACTAGTGTAAATCAGGAGTAATTCCAGTGAAGTAAATAGGGTTTCACAGGTGTTAAACTGGATTAAGTGAAAGGAGAATCAGGCCCCTAGGACAAATTTAGTTTGCTGTAAATGGTTGCAACTCTCATTGAATTTAATGGGTGTTATACTCACTTACACCGGGACTAAATTTGATTTTTAATATTATCTTATGAACCGTGGGCCAAATTCTGTCCTTGGGTCCACATGCTCAGCTTCATTTGAACTCTATGGAAGTGCATCCAAGCCTCTGACACAACTTTTACATTCTGTTGGTGGATTGTCTTTGAAAACAAATGTGATATATTGTACATAACTAAAAGGGCAAAAATCATATAATCAAAAGCTGATCAAGTTGGTTTGTTTCCATTTGAATTAATTAATCTTGTTACTTGCATAGAAAACTCATAATTGGTTTAGAATGTTCTAACATTTTCTAAAACTAATGTTCACAATAATATAATAGTGCCAATGACCTGCATTACTACTTAAACTCCTTTCTTTTCTATCATTTTGTACTGTTGTTATTATTATTAATCATGTTTATTATGGTAGGCCTAAGGGCCAATTGTGCTAGATGCTGTACAAACAAAAAAAAGGAGCTTGTCTCTTCCCCAAAGAGCTTACATTCCAAATAGACCAGACAGACACAGGGTGGGGGAAAGGGATAGAACACACAAACGGAGTGAACAATGTGATGGCAGCAAATGGCACATCAGTTCCATGGTTTTGGTTTCAGGGTTTTTTGGTGGGTTTACTAGGAGGTGATCAGCTAAAAGGAAAGGAAAGGAAAGGAAAGGAAAGGAAAGGAAAGGGGGTGAGGGGGCAGGCCAGGGGAGAAGAGATTGTGGAGTGAAACTGAAGTGAAGAGATTGTGAAGAAGGGGGTGGGTTGGAGCAAGCAGCCAATCATCACAGAGAAGAGAAAGTCCAATCAAATCAGCAGAAAGTTATCTGAATAACGAAAGGCCAAGGCTTTGACTGCTTCTTCTTCTACTGCTTGGAAGCTCCACTGCAGTTTTCTCTCAAGACCACGTGGCCTGAGGTGGGGAGGGGAGGCACCACCTAGCTCCTTGTGCACCCACAGCATGGGAGTCTCCCCTGCACAGTTCTCAGTCCAGCTGGACCCCATCCCACTTTACCCCCTGTATTCTACTGCAGTAGTCCCTGCTTTGGCTGCTTCTGCCTCAGGACCGACATTATTTATCCATTGTGTATGCTATGATGGGTGAAGTCATGACTTACAGAAGAGAACTACTTTGTTTTAAATATACATCCAGCTGTCTGGCTGTATCTGCCTGTATGTCTCTTGTCATTTACTTTCACTGTAAGCTCTTTGGGGCTGGGACCGTCTTTATGTTCTATGTTTGTACAGCACCTAGCACAATGGGGTCTTGGTCTGTGACAAGGTGCTACGGTAATAAATGAATAAATAATAATAATTGCAACTTCTCTCAGTATAAACAAACCTGGCTCCAATAAATGTACAATATTGCATAGACTCAGGCCAATTCCCACTAAAGTCAAGGGGGAGTCTTTCCACTGACTATCCTGAGGACTGGATTGGACCTGTATGAAGAGGCTATAAAGTAACTTTCCGGTGTTTAGTTATTTTAAAATGTTGACATTCTTGAGGGTTGAGTCTCTCCTTTAAAAGTACCTCAGCTCCATCCTAATTACTTTTGTCTGGGAGTTCAACCCAGACTGACCTGGCATCTGGATCAGTTAGAATATAAAAGTATGTAGGATGTAAATGTTTATAGTGTACATTTAATTTTTTTAATCCCAAAATCACTAGCAAAATGTAACTGATGCTTCAACCATCTTGTCTGGTCCATATGTCTCGTAGATATACAAGTTAGAGCACTTCCTGCTCCTCAAAAAATACGTTCCCCATATTCCAACTACCTGGCTGCCTTCCCATCTGACTACTCAAATGCAAGACCATGGTGGGTCACAATTGCTATATGATGTACTGGACACTCCTCTCTCCTCAACAAACCTTATCTAGGGTCTGAGCAATGATATTCCACAAAGGCCCAGCAGATGTCACCGTAGACATTGACTAGCCGCCTAGCTGTCCTCTTTAGGTAGAGGCTTCATCATACCCACCCTTCACTAGCTTGGCAGACGCAAGTCTTGAGGTTGCTACCAAAGCTAGAGGCAGTCTGTGTAACAGCCGTCAAACCACTGAGACAAATTAATCAAGTTATCAGAGAAGCTTTGCTATTGTAAATGCACTTTTGGGGAGATCAAAACATCTGGCTTCATATGATTTGTCTTTATTTATGATTAAGTAATGTGATGCTCTTCTCCTTAGGTACTGTAGCCTCCAAAACCTAAACTGCTGCTTGCTGAAGAGTGTATATGAAGGCATGAAATGGCTGTGAAAGTCTGGCACTTCCATTCCCATTGGTCAGGAAGTGGGTTGACCCTGGTGTCACTTTCCATCCTTCTGCTGCCACCTACACTTTTTAACCTTGACTACACTAACATACAAACTTAAAATAAGCAAATCTAAATGCTGGTGCATCTGAAAAGGTCTTTCTTTTGGGAGAATATTTTTTTTAAAGTAACTCAGTGTTTACTACTGACAACTCCAAGTGTTGGAAGCATGGAAGGCATTGGAGAACCCACCCATTTAAACCAGAATGGGAAGTTTTGAAGTTTAATTTCTGTTTGGCTCCAGCAAAGCACTGGGTGCAGGCTGCAGGATTCTTATTATATTTTATTCCTCCGATTGCCATAGCAACAAGGGCAAGAAAAAAAATCTTTACTGTTTGTACAGCACAGACTTCCAGTTAGTGAGAAAGAGATGGATTTGTTAAATTATACTTCCCTTTGAAAGACAATGATTTAACCAAAAAGGGCAAACATGAAAACTCCATGACCCTGAAATTTTGAAAGAAACAGTTGTGGAGCTTTTATGAACCCTTCCAAAAGGCACTACTTTGTTCTTCCAGGCCTAGCAATTAATATTGTTACTTCTTATAAGAAAGTCCAGTGATATGGCAGCTGGCCTGAAAAAATTTGGACCATCTTCCCAACGAGCACCACCTCTTTCCCCTCTGCCTCTTCCTCTATCTTTGGATTTTCTCATAATTTTTTTTCTCAGCGGCTCCATCCCAGGGGAGGAAGACAAGAAAATTTCTCAGACATTATTACTCAGTGTGGTTGCAGGAAAAAATTCTTCATGGGGAAATCCCCCATGTCTGAGGAGAAAAAGCAAAATTCAGCAGGAATCCCAGTCAGTTTAGCTTGTTGAATCCACACGTTGGCCTAGAAGTATTTTTTATCAGTCTAGGTGCTTTCAATTTTTCATTTGATCCTTATCAGTGGATGTCATTGCACTCAATAGGCATTATCAGAGAGGGATATCTAGATAATGGGTAACAATAAACAGCATACTATTGGCAAAATGAGTCACTTTTCCTGAGAAAAATTGATTATTTAAATACTTACATTTTTGGGAGGGGGAAAAAGTGAATTAATCTTTGACAGGTACTGTCTCAACTGGGGTGGAAAGGGAACTCCACTGTATGTGCCTGATCCTGCCCCGGAGAAGTTAATGGGAGATTTACCATTGACTTCACTGGATGCAGGAGGAAGTCCTAGTAGGCTTTACACTTAAAGAAGTGTTTACGGGCTACAGTTGTGCAAATTAGGGCTTCTGAATAGTTAAAAGATTGTCAGATTCCAAACTCATCTCGGGTTTAGATCCATTTAGTGTTGCTGCTATTGACTATTAATGCTGGGTCTTACATTTAAATTGTGCCTTGCACCACAGCAAACTGACATATTAGAGAGAGGGGGCTCACCCAGCATTGGAGTGAAATACAGCAGCTTCCTTGCACCAATACCACATAAGGACGCTACAGCATCCAGCTGCAACTCCAGGGGCTTTTAGGTAAGCACCATGTGAACTGTGAAGATGTGGCCACGACAACCCTACTCTTTGCGCACACAAAAAACCCCGCGGGATCTTCAGGAATGCAAGCGGGTTGGAGGATGGCTTGTGCGCATCCCGTCCCGAGGCGACTAGGGAAGGGGGACTGGCGGGGGCGCAGCCTAGTGGCGGGAGTAACAGCACCCACGCTGCCCGTGGTGTATTATTAGCCCCAGAGGGAGGCTGTATGAGGCCGGGGTCACGAGCATAGGTGAAGGGAAAGCCCAGGGTGGGGAAAAGGCGGCGAGTTCCCTAAGGCCGGCTCCCAGGGAAGTACCTGGGGGGAAGGGGCTTAGTCACAGAGCTGTACTGTACCAAGTACTTTCCCTCTGGTAATTAAAAAAATGGGGCGAGGGGCGGGCTAGTCAGGGGATTCCTCCGTTGCGAGCCTCGCCTGGGCTTTTTATGTAACGCCGCAGACAGGCACAGGCTGGTTCTTGCTGTTTGACTTGCTTGGAAATTCCCAGCGGCTCGTGCTCCGCCCCTTACAGAAATCCCCTCAGCAGAGGGCGTATATCCAGCGCCGCCGCCCGCCGCCGCTCTCACACAGTGCTCGCCTGCCGCCGCCGCTGAGCCTGGGCCTGGGTCGCTTGCGAAGGAGCCGAAGGGGATCTAGCGCCTGTGTTAGCGGAGGCCGAGCCATGTTCCAGCCCAGCTGCAGCCCGGCTGGCCGGCGGGACTCAGCGATGGAGCCGCTGAAGAAGGAGCGGCAGCTCGGCTTGCTGCAGGACGACCGGCACGACAGCGGGCTGGACTCCATGAAGGAGGAGGAGTACGAGCTGCTGGTGAAGGAGCTGACGGACATCAGGCTCCAGCCCCAGGAGGAGCGGGGGGCGCCGCACCAGCCGGCCGAGCCGTGGCAACAGCAAGTGACTGAAGACGGAGACACGTAAGTGTGTGTCCTGCGCCGGTTGTACGGAGGGGCCCGGGCCCGGGGGCGTTCCGAGGGGAACATACGGCGCTGTGGCCGGCGGGGGAAGGGCTGCGCTGAGACCCTCGCCGCCGTGTGCAGCCAGGCGGGCGCGCGGGGCGGTTGGCCGTAGAGTTCGGTGTCCGGAGCTGGCCGCCCGCCAGCCCGGCCGGGAGGGGGAAGTACAGAGTGTGCTGGCGGCGCGGGGCGGGGCCGGCGCCCGGCTGGGCGGAGGGGGAAGGTGCCGTGGAAAGTCCCTGGCCCGCTGCCAGGAACACTCAGCTCATAACAACCCCGCGGAAAACACCAGGCAGCGGCCTCTGAAAACCCCGGGCTTGCGAAAGCCGCCTGCTGCCTGTGCACGTGACTGCTGGGGCATTGCCCGGGGCTGGCTGCTGGGACCCTGGCCTGATGTGACACCCCTCCCCCCCGCTCATTGTTCTCGGACCGACTTTGAGGGGTTGTTTTTTTCTGTTCCCTTTTGTAGATTTCTCCACTTGGCAATTATTCACGAAGAAAAGGCCTGGACCGTGGAAGTCATTCGCCAGGCAACTGCCAACCCTGCCTTCCTGAACTTTCAGAATAACCTAAACCAGGTACTTTAAACCATCTGCATTCCAGCCCAAACAAGCCAGACGGCCCCGACCCCCTTGGTGACTTTAGTAACTTTCTAAGACAAATTTTACAAATGACAGATATTTAATCAACTCATATATGACACCTCTTCCCCTGCCCCCCCACCAAAAAAAAAACCCCACAAGATTGCCCAGGACAAACTTGTGTTTGTGTACAGCCAATATTCTCCTCCTTGACAATGGCATTTTAAAGCACCATTGCTTTAAAATATACTATGGTGGGTTCCACTCATCCATTGTTTGCCATACAAAAGATACCTTTTATTTGTATCTCCCTCTGCTCTCAAGAGAGCCTTAAATCAGTCACTCCCAAGCTAAAAGGGAACTCTGTTGATTCTTGAATACAGTGTTCCTGGTGAGCACGAAATATTAAGCAAATTCTTATGTTATTTTTAAGAATCTAGAATCACCAAGTGGTTGAAGGGCTGTGTGCTCAGATGCTGTCTCTAACATATTTCCTGTTTGTAATGTACTTTACAATAGTTTTGTTTTTCTTTTTTTTTATAATAGACTCCACTTCACCTGGCAGTAATCACAGATCAGGCTGAAATTGCTGAGATTCTTCTCAAGGCCGGATGTGATCCAGAGATCAGAGACTTCCGAGGAAATACACCACTTCATATTGCCTGTGAGCAGGGCTCTGTCAGAGCTGTCAGCGTCCTCACTCAGTACTGCCAGCAGCACCACCTATATTCAGTCCTACAGTCTGCCAACTACAATGGTATGCATAAATAAAATTCTTAGCATCTAGTGCTTCTGTGACATAGATCTCAGAGAGCTTTATAAAGGTGGATAAGCATTATGATTCCCATTTTACAGATGGGGAGGCTGAGGCCTAGCAGTAAAGTGACTTCCCTGAAATCACACTGCAGTCAGTGCTGGAGCTGGGAATAAGTTCCAGCCCTCCTAACTGCCAGTGCTTTATTCTGGCTCTCACACTCTTCAACTTTATTCTCTGGTTTTTAGATAGCACTGTTTAGCTATCTATTTGGTGTTTTTTTAATTGTAGACATTTTTCTGTTATTTCTTTTTTGTTAAAACAAGTTCCAGTCTAACACTGGGTGGGGGGAAAAAAACATAGCATCTAAGAAATAAAAATGCCTTTTAATTTACCTGATCATCAATGCACAATATAAAGTTCGTATAGGACAATTTAAGTTCAGTTTGGATAATGGTGATTGTATTTCAAACCAAAGATATGATGATAGTGTGTTAGAAGAGTGTTTAGACTAAAGTGACTGATAACGCATTAAAGTAGAAGTACTTAATTTTTACCTATGTTCTTGTTTTACAGGACACACGTGTCTCCATTTGGCATCTATTCACGGGTATCTGGCTATAGTAGAATATTTGCTGTCCTTGGGAGCAGATGTCAATGCTCAGGTGTGTATTTGAAGCTCTTTGTTTATCCAAATATGATAGTGCTGGAGTAGGAATGTACAGTTTTCGTAGTGCCAAGCCTAACTATCCTGACATTAAATTACCTGTTTTATTTTTACTAACCAGGAGCCTTGTAATGGCAGAACTGCCCTCCACTTAGCTGTAGACCTGCAGAATTCAGAACTGGTGTCGCTTCTGGTAAAACATGGGGCTGATGTGAACAAAGTGACCTACCAGGGCTATTCTCCATACCAGCTCACATGGGGAAGAGACAGCTTCAGCATACAGGAACAACTGAAACACTTAACCACGGCTGACCTACAAATGCTACCAGAAAGTGAGGATGAGGAGAGCTGTGAATCAGAATCAGAATTCACAGAGGATGAAGTAAGTAGTTATTTTCACCCTTTTTTTATAAGGAAGAACTAAATTTTGCCCTTATGTGCATCTACATGGCTCGCATTAAAGTTGTTGGGGAAACATGCACACAACTCTTAGGTTGTGTTTTTTCCTGATGCTTTGATGGCCTATTAACTGTGTTACATATAATTCACCTACAAACTTAAAATAAACTAAAAAATTTAAATAGCAGGCATTGGGAATATAGTACAAGACTTAAGCATTGGACACCCAGAGCTAATCTATAACATTTACTTACAAAATCAAAGTGTAAATTAGACAACCTTTCCTCTTACTCTGGGCCAATTTTTTGCAGGTGTTAATCAAGCAAATCCTCTCCCAACCCCCATGATTTCAAAGAGAAATTTGTTCATTTAAGGAACATGAAATCTAGCACTCTATTTTTTTTATCAGGATTTTATTGAATGAGCATTAGAAATGCAAATATAAAAGCACACAAACAGCATATACAAATAGGGGGGAAAGAAGGTTGCTAAAACTAATGTCACAATATGTGCCTCTCTCTCCATAGTCTTCTGTTGGAGATAGCTAGTGTATCTACCGCATTTGTGACATAAAGTTTTGGTTTGTTTCTGTCTCAAGTATATATTTCTCCACATGACTTCAAAATTTTTTCCTCTTAAGAATCTATATTATCATTTATTATTGAATACTTCTAAAGAGTTCATTTCAAATCCTGCTTGTCTTAACTCTTGTGAGCAGTGTTGTTGAAGTCAAGGCAAGCAGAATTTGGCCTGAGATTCTCCAAGGTGAACTTGAATGCTACTTGTAGAACTCTGCATTAACCTATATATATATATTTTTTTTCCTTCTAGATAATGTATGATGACTGTGTTATTGGAGGACGACAGCTGGCATTTTGAAGAAGAGGTTTCTCTTAAAGGACATGACTCTATAGGAAGCTGACGTATTTTCTTTAAAAAAATGATAAAATGTGAAAAAAATATTGAAATACTACACTGCACACCATGGACTACATCATTATAACAGCAGGTTTCACATTCTGACCCATACTTTTACTAATGGGAGTTGGATGTGTAACATCAGTAGAAATCTATGTTTATTTGTACCAGTTATGGATTAACTGGTCGTCAAAATGTATGAACAGTATGAGGACAACAGACTACTGGATCCACCTGAATATTCGTTTTGTGTACAAGAATGTATCTGAGAGATGACTAGTGAGTTTTTCTGTGGAGTTGCTTCCCCCTACATGGCTGGACAGGTTCACATGAGTATCCCATCTGCTGGAAGAAATTGCATAGATTTCTGTTGGGCTGATTGTAATCGCTCCTAATGACTGACCTCAGCTGCCCTTTGTACTGTAATGCAGAGAGAGGAATTGAAACAAAAGAATGACCTCTTAGCTTTTATGGGAAAGGTAGCAATAATGTTAACTCTGTGCATTGGAAACAGTGTATTTCCCTATGGATGTGGCATGATGGCTAAACTTTTAGCAGTTGTATATCATGTATATATTGTATATTTTGTTTATAATTATTTTGATACCTGAGATGTATATTTATTAAAAAATGTCAAGTCCTTGGTTTGTCATTGGACTGGTTCACATTCCTGGCTTTTAGAGGAGAGCTAGCCCACTGACCCATCTATCTCTCATCTGCACCGATGAGGAAGAAAGTTTATTCAGACCCCAACACCACAGTTATTAATGCAGTGAATCGCTGCTGGACAAGAGCCTTAAGTTAACTTTCTTTCTGGGAACCACATTTCTACCATCTTCAGTTCCTCTCCCTGCCTTACAAATCTGATAGTAAATATTTTTCCTCTCCCACAAGAATAGAGACATCTGCTCTAGAGCCAACACCAAATCCCCTACATGAATTGTCAGCAGGTGTGTAGAGTGTAGCCCTAAAACAGGAGTTCTCAAACTGGGGGTTGTGACCCCTCAGGGGGTCGCAAGGTTATTAGATGCGGGGGTCACAAGCTGTCAACCTCCATCCCAAACCCCGCTTTGCTTCCAGCAGTTATGGTGTTAAATATATAAAAAGTGTTTTTAATTTATAAGTGGGGGGTCACACTCAGAGGCTTGCTATGAGAAAGGGGTCACCAGTACAAAAGTTTGAGAGCCACTGCCCTAATGCATCATTTTCTCCAGTCCCCCTTCACGTATGAAGTCCCTAGCGGTCTGACCTGCATTGTTCCTAAGTCCACCAGGCCAAAGTTAATTGCACTCATTGTAGGCCAGCTAAGAATGTCTCCCTAAGCCATGATCAACAGCAGGTTTTGGTTCTTCTCAGTTCACAGAGGGAAAGAGGAGTAAGTGGGTCTCATCCACTCTGAGAGTTCATCAGACTGTTCTCTTCAGCATCTGCAGAGACAAAAATCATCTAGTCAAATTCTCCTCTGCAGATGATCACCTCTTGGCTCAGAGGATGGTAGCCTGCTTTAACTTAAGTCACTGATATAGGGGTCCCTCCCCACCTCCAACATGCCCACTCCTTCCCAGCAAGAGCCTGCTCTGCTACCTTTATGCCAGCAAGGTGTTCCCCTCTTACCTGGGAAATTCTCTGCTGGCCATTTACAGCCAGACTCCAGCCACTTTGCACCACCTGAGAGGCACAAAGGAGCTGGATTGTATTGGCGAATCTGGACCATTAACTTTAAGAGGGGACCTGCACCTCCATTCTCTTCTTGGTGGGCTTTATGGAACAAGAACTGTTTTAAGACATGCCCCTGGTCCAGTGGCTGCTTTTCATGGAGCAGAATGGCTCAAAGGGCTAGGCTCTTGCTGATTTGCATTGGATCCAAAGGTCAGTGTGGAAATGATTACATGGGAAATTGTCATCCTGAGTCAGTGTTTTTTCTCTGCCACCCTTTTTTCCCTAACTTGTCCAAGGTGCATGCTTTGAAACTTCCTGTTGGCAGAAAAGGTCATTATTGAGCATCAAGCCTGTGTGATCTTCCTTTTTGAGGAAAGGCTGAAAAACTGACAGACACACCCAAGGTACAATCCAGACTAGTGAGTAGCTGGGTCCACCTGCCTTTTACGCTACTTTGCTGCTGTAGCTTCCAGTCTGGACTGCTCATAAACAGCCTGCAGCACAGTGGCGCTGGAATGCTTTTTATAGTGGGAGTGCTGAAAGCCAGCAAAACTATCCCCAAACTTTTTACCTCATGCCCCTCTCCCCCTCCCCCCACCAGCTGAGGCCAGGAGCAGGGCCATGTCTCCAGGAAGGGGGGCCATAGACAGGGATAAGGGGGCCAAGGCTGGGGGCAGGTGTCGGGCCAGTAGTGGAGGCCCGTATGCTCAGATACCAGTGATGGGCATGGTATAAAAAAGCTACATAGATACAACATAATTGCAAAGTATAATTATTACAAGGGCAAATGAAAAGAACTTAAAAGGACAAATCAGAAAAATTACAGTGGAACCATGCTATTCAGGAAGTAATGATGTATTCCGTGCTGCAGAGTTGAACATGTGAACAAATATAATTTACCTATCAATGAGATAGTATTTCCTTATAATAAATGTGCAAATGAAATTACTTCACCGTATAAGGAAGTTATGCTACTAAACAAATCACTGCCAAGTTAAAAAAGCATTTGTTAATTTCTTATTTCTCCAAAGCATCATCAAAAGCACTTAATTTAATGTGAGAAATCACATTAAATAAACATATTCACTAACTGAGATGAGGCATGTATATGTCTTTTTGTAAGGACTTGTCTGCACTTGAAATTTGTTCTGGGCTAACCTGAATTATTTTGCATTAAAGTGACTTGTATAAAAAAAACTAAATTATTTTTGCTGCAAATCATCTGCCATTTTAACACACGTTCTTAAACCCACTTTGGGAGTGGGTTTGCTGAGATTTGGGATGAGTTTACCTGTAACAAAGTCAGTGTGGATGCATCCCAATCCCAAAATAACTGTTGTGTATCTGCCAAGTCCTTTTCTGGTATACTCACATTGCTTTGTTGGAGTGCCCTGTACCTGTGCATCATATGCTGTTCCAGGAGCACCCTGACTGCTGTACACAGCAGGTGCTATCCTTTATGACTCCAGCTCACAGGGAGTTCACATACTGTGCCACATCCTCTTGATTATTGATAAGTCATGCATCATACTTCTGCATAGACCCATGCTGAGATCCTGGACTTCACTGCCCGCTACTGAGAGGCGCATATACAGGACCACCTGAATGGCAGTCACTTAGCACAAGTGTCTAAGCAGGTATCACAACAAGTGCAGGACAGGGCACACAAATGGGACCCAAGCCAGTGCTGCAATAAGGCAAAGGAGCTCTGTCTGGGCTATAAGAATTTTAAGGACAACAGGACAGATGAAGGAACATGCATGGTCTCCAGCTACCGTGTTTGCTGGAGATCCCGCCACTCAACCACTAAATTGTGTGGACTCACTGACTGATCCTGAAATCCAGATTCTCATCTGACTCCAGGGCAGACACAGATGTGGAAACCCAGGACCAACCTGGTGGTGGGGTTGGTCTACCCTCTCTCTGCCTCCTGGTCTACCAACCCCATCACCAGTTGCTCAAAATGGTGGCCATGCCAGAGAATGTACCAATGTTCCACTCCGCCTTGATGCTTACTGCTCTCTCTTCTACCCGGTTGACCCACCATCATCTGCACCAGCCCTGGGGGCACCACCTGGGCAAACGGTAGCATGGCATCTCTTCCTGGTTTGCCCATTGCCTTTTTTTAATCAGAATCCTTCTCTATTTGGGGGACACAGTTCAGGGTAACAGCCTCCAAAGTAAGGACAGCTTGCACCAGTTCACAGGCAACGAGTAACCTGCCTCTGCTGCACTCTCTAGCTAGCCATCTCCCCCGAACACCACAGGCCATCTGGCATCTGTTAGCCCTTTTCCCAAGTTGCCACAACAACCACAGCCACACTCCTCTAACACAGGCCCAGGGGTTCTAGACAACTGGGGAAGATGATGACACAAATGCAGTAGCTGAGGATAATGGCGAGGCAAACACCTCTCCTGACCTTGAAAGCCCAAACTTGTCTGCACACAACTGGTTTAACTTTAAATGGCTTTTAGCTTTGCACAGCATTATGCATGTTCAAGAACATTTTATTGCTCAAAACATTGAACTGGGTGTGTCCATTGTAATTTATTAAGAAACCATTGAAAAGGTCTTTATATTCATGGTTTGAGTCCTGCACAATTCGTTGAAATGCCCAGCTTCACTGTCATAAAATCCACACATACACTATACTAAAAGCCACCCATTAAGTACGTTAAAATCCTTCCACTAATACATATGAAGATATGTGCAGTCACCATGATTACAGCCTTATGTGAAAATATGTGTAAGTTCACAAATGGCCTCTAGACTCAAAGAAGGAGCACAGTGCAGCCCTGACTCTGTACCCCTGAGTAGTTGCAGCATTTTGTGGACATGTCCACTCTAGCTGTTCAAAATGTTCAGCAAGTCTGCTCACCTCCGTCTCCTACCCTTCAGCCAGGCTGTCTCCCTTGCTCTCACAAATGTGCCAAACACAGCAAGCAATTATCATAAGAGGCAGATAGCTCTCAACAGCCTCCAGCCTCAGCCTCAGACTTCTCCATCTACCTTTCAATCTTCCAATTGCATATTTCACTGTCATTCTGCAACTACTCAAGGTATAGATAAACAGCTCCATTCTTCTGCCCAAGTGTCCAGTAAAAGCAGGGCCGGCTCTGGCTTTTTTGCTGCCCCAGGCAAAAAAGCCTCCGGCCGCCCCCCCCCCCCGCGGGGAGGGGGAGGCGGCCAGAGCGCCGGGGGGAGAGCGGCGAGCCCGGCCGTGGCCCCGCTCTCCCCGGCGGCCGGAGCGCCGCGCCGCCCCCCTCCAGGTGCCGCCCCAAGCACAAGCTTGGTGGGCTGGTGCCTGGAGCCGGCCCTGAGTAAAAGGCTTCATA